AAAAATAATTTTTGCCCAAAGTATTTGGGCAATTTCGGCTACTAATAGAAGCAGTTTCGACCAGAAACCTTAGTCATAAGCTTGATCCATTTCACATATAATATATATGTATATATTATTATTGATTGAAGATAATATATTTATTCTAAAAAGAATTTAAAATCAAATGAAAATTGTCGGATATTAATATTATTTGTAATTATAATAATAATAAACAAAAATATTATTGGTTATTTGTAATATTTGAAATATTATGAAAATGAGGAATTTGGAATTAAAATTTGTAATGGATTCTCTAATAAAATAGTCTAATTATTTATACAAAAATAGTTTTCAGGATTAAAATCATGTTTAATAATTTAATGCATACAAAATAACCAATTGATTTTTAATGATTAAAAAACTCGAGTTTTTCTCACTTTTATAGTAATGAGATTGCATTTGGTAATGATCATGTTTTTTAATTGATGAGGCTTTTTTCTTTTTTGGTTAATAAAAAAATATATATAGGAATTTACAGATAATCCTTGTGATTTATAAAATCATGTGAATTTTATTTATAGGCCAAAGATAAAGGCAAAATATTTTTGTACTCAAACCTAATTTTGTGTTCTAGAATTTTTGAATTTCCCATTGCAAAATCTAGGAAGAGAGATAAAGTTTTTTCTCAATATGTTTTAAATTGACTCAACAATCAATTCTTCTTCACTTCTTGCTGGAATGTTTGTAAACATTCAAATAATTATCACAATTATTTAAAAACATTTAGATATTTATTTAACAATGTTAATGAACTGATAATTTTATTGTTGTAAAATTATATAAAAGTTATCTTTATTTGTTTGAATTTTACTTCTTTAAATAATAAAAATACAATTCTTAAAATATAGATATAAATCATAAGAAAATAAATAAATATATAATCTATCTATTGTATGGTAATGGATTAACCCATTACCAATCCAGATGAAAAAATTCTTGACGGATTTTTAATGAGTTCAAATATTCTTAATATTAATAGGTCTATAATGTTAATCCGTTAACAACCTGGTCATAACTATACATGGGATGGTAATTATTTTGCCAAAAACGTAATACGTAATACGTAATTACGAAATTAATTACGAAATCAATTACGGGTGACGAAATCAATTATGCGTGATGAAATCAATTATGCGTGACGAAATCAATTACGCGTGACGAAATCAATTACGAATGACACCTATAATTTATCTTGTTATACTAATATAATGACATAATTTGTCAACTTTTTTAGAATTATAGAATTTATTCTGTTATAACAACATGGGAGAACCAATCAAAATCATTCTCATTTCTGAAAAAACATAATAATAAGGAAATAAAACTTATACCGGGATCAAGATTGACCAGCATCACGGAAAATTCTGATAACACTACTGTATAATGCTAGTCAATTTTGACCCAGTGTAAGTTTTAAATTTCCTGATAAAACATGAATGAAATAAATAAAAAATATATAATAAAAATAAAATTACAAAATCACATGATAATGATTCTCATATGAATTCTTGTTATAATGACATTCTCGTCATACTGACATTTTTTGCTTGTACAGAGAGTGTTGTTATAACGGGAGTGACTTGTATTATGATATTTCCAATAATTAATTCGTTATTATTCATAATTAATTTCGTCACCCGTAATTAGTTTCATCACCCGTAATTAATTACGTAATTACGTTTTTAAAGAGTGAAAGTGGTAATTAATTACATTAATTATGAATTACGTATTTACGGTAATTAACTAATTACCATATCATGTATAGTCATAACACTAATTTTTTTCTTTTTTTTTAGTAAACCATAGTAATATTTTCCAATAAAATTAGCAAAAAATTACTTCAACTTTTATTACTTGCTGTCCGTTTTGGTCATGTGATTTTATAGTATTGTGACACCGTCTAAAAAAATAGTGCGTCATTAATTTGAGATGATCAACAATCAGGGGAAATTTGTTAATAAATAAATTAGCAGTAATGTATTAATAACAATTACCAAAAGCAAAATACCAATCGTTCACTATCTTGATAAAGATCTTATAATTACCCAGCAAGATCTGCCCCGCGTTTTGATTTCAATTAAAATATTTATAATAACCAACAACATCACTCACGTTTTGTCATCTGTCGAAAAATACAGTCAAACCTCACCACAGCCAAAAAAACTCGTTATGACAAGAAATCCGCTGTGGTAAATTTGAGACTGGCAAAAAAAAATTTAATAAATGCTTTAAATTCTTTATAATCTAATTGACTTTATTATGAATCTTTGGAAAAATGATCTTTTTTTGTTTTATTGTTTTAAAAATGATAAATAATATATCAATTGTTTTGTTATTGGTTTATTAATTTATTTTAGTACCTTGGAAAAAGTTGTTACTCGCAAACTTTTGGACAAATAATCTATCAATTGTTTGTTTACTGATTTATTTTAGAAACTTGGAAAAAGTTGTTACAAACATTTAGACAAATAATCTATCAATTGTTTGTTTATTGATTTAATTGCTTGGAAAAAGTTGTTACTCGCGAACATTTGGACAATGGACAAATAATCTATCAATTGTTTGTATTGGTTTATTTTAGAAAATTTGTTACTCGTAAATCTTTGGATAAAAATGTTTGTTTGTGCTTATTTAAATATTGGCCTTTGATTAAAAATAATCTATTTGGATAAATTTATATTTCACGTGAATTAACTGTGATGAGACCAGTAGCCATATAGAAAGACCCCATCAAAAATCCGTTAACGTTGTGGAACAAATTTATTTACATTTATAATTATAACAAGAATTAAGGCACCAGAATAATGAAACATAAATGAAAACGAAAGAATTTATTTTTTAAAAAAGATCAATTTTTCTATGACACTTGGCTTCAAGATTTGTACGTTTATTGGTAATAATATTATTATCGAGAATCTGAACATCCTCTCACTGGGAACCGACGCCATTGGGATTATCAAAATTTCTTGAAAGAATTGGAAATGTGATTATAAATTCCGTTAGTGCTAGATGTTTTTAGAATTATGTGGTTGAATCTTAAAATAATTATTTATGTAAATATAAATAATATGTCAATAATAATCGTAATAATTTTAGGAATTAGAAATATTTACCATCCATCATCTTTATCAATATTATGTTCTGCATTTAAATCCCACTAATATTTTGAAAAAATTTCAATTCTTTTTCCACACATAATTTACATTTCACAACATTACCTTCCTGTTTAAATACTTCCAAGCGATACCCACTTCTTTACTTAGTATTCAAAGGTGATTAATTTGGTGATATGTTTCTAGGCTTAGTATTAGGGTGGGATTGTCGTAATTAATTCTATATTAATATTTGATTAAAAATGAAAAAAATATATATCTGATAAATAATCAGTCAATTTGAATCCTGGATCGTGTAAGATCCAATCTCTAATTTGTGTATATGAACATACACAAATGGTATTTTAGGAACGCAATTGTATGTGATGAATGCATTTGCACGATGTATGTGGCGTAGGCAATAGAAACGGAGCCATATTGTGAAAAAAGCAATTTTGAGTTAATATCTTCTCATTGTACCTGCTTTGCATAGTAAAATATCTTGATATTTAAGGCAAAGCAAGCAGAACCAGCAAAATATAATAAAAATTTCAGTTAAAAGGTCATTGGTTATTAATGTTACTATTGTTACTATTATGATTTTGATAATAAAAGTCTTGTTTTGAAAAATTATCATCGTTATTAGTTCATCATTAATCCTCGTCATCTTCATTATTTATCAGATATTTCAATAATTATCCATTTTTTATAATAATAAAAATTAATTATAAATTTAATCATAAAATAAGTCTTATTTTCAAAATGTAAGATATATCATTATTTTTCTTCATCTTCATGACTTTTGTATGGCGATTTATTTAATTGATCTATCAAACCAACATCGATAACATAGTCTTTAAGAAATGTTTCCAATGCTTCAATCCTTTCCTCGGGAGTTCCTTTCTTTTTAAATGGCGCGGTCCTCAATTTATTATGCATTACATTTTTAAGAACCCTTTCTTGTACAAATCCCCATGGTTTAATTGCATTATCACCTACAATGATCAATGTAGATGTTGATTGTAAAGACGAATACTATGTGATATGTATATATATATATATATATTATGCAATAATTAACATATAATTACCAAATAAAAATATGTAAAATGCTGTCAATCCTCCCCATATAGCAAGTACATTTGAAACAACAGTCAGAGCCTGATTGATACGATTGACAAAGTTAATGAATGACTAATGATAATTATAATGGCAATAATTAATTAATATGCTTACATTTTTATTTCTATATTAAAAAAAAAATCGATTATTATTAGAAATTAATAATTATTATTTGATCAATCCATCAACCGATTTGGATCATACAATCTACTTACCTTTGATCAATTTCAGTTTCAAGCAAAAAACTCAGAGGAAATATTTGGAAACTTGCTAGACTTGAGTTTTTTGTCGTATCATAAACACCTAAATAAATAAATACATTCATTTACTGATTTGTTTTATTTGCACATATTTTATTAACAATAATAAATTTTTATAACTTACGTTCATTTATCACAACATAAGATTGGCTAGGGTACCTTTGTAGAAGCCCCAAATTATTTAGAGGTGAATCTCTTAATATAGTCCTTTGTTTTCTTGATAGCCGCAAAGCATATCGCTAAAAATATATCATTCGTAGTTATTTAATAATTAATAATAACATCACTTTACATTTAAACATCACTTACATTTAAACATCACTTACATTTCCTGTATCATATAAAGCATTTCTTTGAAGCGAGTTGATAAAACTTGAATAATCCTCAGTTACATTAGCAAGTGGATCATTAAATGGATTATATTCTAATTTAAAAAAAAGAACCATCAATCAATCAATCAATCGGTCAATACTCAAAATAAACAAATTGTTTTTTACCTTGATCATGCATATAAAGACCAAAACTGGTAGAACCATCACTAGTAGAAATATACTTTGGACTCGTAATCTTAAAACGCAAACGGAATGAAGCTATATTTCTTTGATTTTGAGTCTTGTTAACATCACCAATGATAAATGATAAATTATCTGGAAAAAAACTTCCATTCCATTCACGGCTGCTATTATCATAAGTAGGTTGTTTTACATATTCATTATTTAGAGTACCTAAATTGATTAATTAATTGATATAAATGATACAATATATGTATAGTGCACCGCATATAATATGAATTTACCATCTTCGCCTTTATTGGTGGTGAAGTAGTAGTAACATTCTATATTAAATTGATATCCAGATGTCATGTAAACAACTATACAATGATATTATGCAGTTGAAAAGTCATCACTCAACATTCTTATATATGATAAACTAATTCATCAATCAATTAACTTCACCTGGTACAGGGAAATGTTCCATTGAAGAATACTTTCTTGTAATAGTTGGTGTATCATTATGTACTCCATTTGATAATATGACAAGAACAGCTAATGTTATTGATACAAATAATATAACAACAAACTTTCTACATATTATAACTGAGATTGGTTCGGGTTTACGTGATCTCTTACAACATAACAAAATTTCCAACATCTTTTTTAAAGAAAAGTTTTGATATATCAGGATGAAAAAATAAATTATTGAAAATTCTTCTTATTACTAGTGTTGACAACAATATTATAAAAATAAAATTTTTATTGTTGTTGCTGAATCTAATAATGAACGGCAATGAATTTAGACACATAATAAAGATTCAATGTATCTTGTAAATGAAAATTGTGATTGGTTGATTGTCCAAATACAGTGAACAAACTATTGCAGATAATTAAATAATGGAAAAAGTACAATCAATAATAGAATAAAAGAAAATCCTGGTGAATTTCACATTGATGATGGAATTCTATTTCGTAATGTTTGTGACCATTCTGTTGATTGGATATAAAAGTCAACACCTTAATAGTAAAACATATAAAAGCACTTGCCGTAAATAATCACGGCTGCCACAAATAGCTACCTACGGTTGCCGCAAATAGATGTGGTTGCTGCAAATAGTTTTCAAGATTAATATTAATTAATGTTATTAGTATGGTGCGGGACCTCTTAAACCATCATTTACTGCGTCTCGTGGCCAAATTCAAAAATGTGTCAATTTTTAAAATTAAATCCGTAATGCTGCATGACATCAATTTGCATATTTAATTAATATGTAAATTTATTATTACTGGAATGAATACTAAAAATAAAAATATTGACGCGTTAATATTACGGTGCAGATCACCTATAATCAATTAATTGCTTATAGTAACAATTGGTCAGCTTCAAAATACTAGAACAAAAAATTTTTATATTATTTTAAAAAAGTTAACCGATAAGTTTTATTCTTCATGACTCAAGCTTCAAAAACTTATCGGCTAGTTTTTTCTTAAACTAAAAATTGGCAGAGCTTTTGTATTTTGAAAATTCCAAATTTTGTTATACGTTTAAGAAATTGAGACTAAGTAAAATTTGCGTAACAAAATTTTTTTCATAGAATATTTTTTACAACATACATTGATTCATTTGTATTATTTATTTCCCTTTTTTTAATAATAATAAAAGTTCTCTACAATAAAAAAAGTTTCAACGAACGTATTACATCAAAAGAAAATCATTACCAAATTTGGACAAATATTGTAACACGAAAATTGTTGCTAGTGATTATTATTATATTCAAATATGGCTAATTCAAATTTAATTCGAATTCGCTCCAAATTTTGTGTGAAATTCGAATTTAGTGTAACAAGATTAAAGATTCAAATTATTATTATTATTCAAATGTGTGAAAATTCGAATTTTTTATTTTAAAATAAAAATGATTGTGTCAACTAACACTAATACCAAAATGGTTATATTAAGTTTTTATAAATTTGTCAAATTCTAATTCGTTCTCATTATTTTCACATTGAAATATTGAAATGTCTAACAAGATTTTAAGTTAAACGTTGCAGTAAGCGAGCGGCGGCACGTGCACGAATTTATTTGTAAATATTTTAATATTAAATATAATATAATAAAACAAAAACGACGGTTGTTTTTCTCCCATGAGCAGTAAACGTCAATTAACTAAATATTAATATTAATATTAATAATATTAAATAGCTTGCTTGTTAAACTTTTTTTTTTTAATATATATTACAGCTCGAGTCATCTAAACCCGACCACTATAGCAAAACTGGCAAAAATTTCAAATTTAGAATATCATTTCTAATTCGGGAAATAATTATTCTTAAATAGGGAATGATCCTCTCCTAAACTTATCATCGAAGAAATTTGGTGATCATCCTTTAATATTTAAACATTATTTAAAAATGTAAAAGTTACTAATATTCAAAACACCATAACTTTTCAAGTAATAAATATTTTACATCAAACTTTTCATAGAATTATCCTTTGGCATTTAATATATAAAACTATGAAAAGTTTGAGTCCAAAAGTTCTCTGTGTGTCCATATGACGGGTTTCAAGAATGCTGAATAAAATTGGTTGGTTCTAGATGACTTGAGCTATACAAAAAAAAAATTACAAATGCAGTGGCAAGTAGAAAAGATTGATTTGTTCCCCATAATACAATAAATTAATTTTTTTACCGCTTTATCAAATTTGCAACCCTTCAGTATTAACCTTTTCCAATCTTTTATATTCTTCTAATGCTGCTTTAGAGACCTTTAA